TCCCTAAAAAGTAAAAACTATAATAATTATATATATTAAATTAAATTTTAAAAAAAATTGATGACCATTGGATCGGCTAAGATTAAATCTCAGTCGTCCATTTCATAATTATATATATATTTTTTAATATTAAATTTAAAAAATTGATAACCATTGGATCGGCTGAGATTTAATCTCAGCCGTCCATTGTAGCCTAGGCTATTACTCTGCTCTCTCTCTCATTAACTCACTCAAAATTCAAATCACTGTCTGTCTCTCTCTCGAATCCTCGATCGACTTCATCTTCGACTTCGAGACCTCACGCCGTCACGCAGACGCGGTGCCTCACCCTCCTCACGGGCCCTCTCACCTCACCTCAGTCTCAGATCAGTGACCTCACTCTCCTCGTCGTCCTCGAGTCTCGACCTCACCCAGATTGTCACTGTCAGTTTCCTTACTCCTCACCGGTTCACGGTTTCACCCACTCTGTCACCCTCCTCACTCAGTCACTCCTCAGTCTACACTCCTCCTCACTGCACAAGGTAAGAAATTCTTGCAATAAACTCAAGGGTTTCTGAATTAGGGCTTTTCGATTTAGGAATTTCTTAAATTAGGGTTTCTAAATTGGGGCTTTTGGAATTAGGAATTTCTGAAATTCAAGTTTCTGAATTAGGGATTTTGAATAGGGACTCTGAATTAGGGCTTTTGGAATTCGAAATTTCTGAAATTCATGTTTCTGAATTAGGGATTTTGAATAGGGACTCTGAATTAGGACTTTTGGGATTTTGTTCTTTCCTTCTTTGTTTTTTTTCATTTTAATGGTTTAAGATAGAAAGAGGAGATGTTAGGGACAAATTTATCACAAGTGTCGGATTAATCAGACTAGATAGGTCATTTTCAACAGAGCAAATTGCTCTGTCATTTTCAACTGAGCAATAACAGGATTACAGTTTTCAAGTGAGTTGGGAAACTTTTCCTTTCTTTGGAGGGATTTTGCAAACAATCGAGAGGACCAAACCTTGAAAGTTGAAACCCTAAAAATTAAAGTATAAAAAACCCAGAAATACTTAAACTTTGACTAGACAATTCTCAGGTCCTCAAAGGACTCCAATACGATTTTGAACAAATATTAATCAAATTAAGGACGGCCATTATTTTTTTTTTACCAAAAAAAGTAAAGCTATGATTTCACTTTTACTCCTTGATCGATTTGTGCTTTCTGCAACACAGAAATGGCTCAACACTTTATCTACACACTGCTATCAGCATCACTGCAAGTCTGCAAGTCTGCAAGTCTGCAAGTCTGCAAGACAAGAGTGTGTAGTGATTGTAAATGTCATCTTTCTCTTGTGCTCTTATAAGAAAGGAGTGTGGTGATTTCTTTGGAGTGTTAGTTAAACTTGTCAATACATTCATTTACAAATCTTATCTTAATCGTTATTACATGTGAATCGATGATATATTGCTGGCTATGTAGCTTACCAAGTAACAGGGAATGAATGAATGATGATAAATGGCAGGGTAGGAAGAAAATATACCCATTATGGAAGTGGGCATGCATTTTGTATGGCCTAAGACTTACCCTTTTCGGAGTGGGAAATGAGGGAAGTGCTTACATACATTGCAATTGCATGCATGTTTCAACAGCCCTAGCTAAAATATAATATTATTTTATATGTGAAATTGAGTGCAGTTATATATGTGAAATTGAAATGGATATGCGAATTTGAAATGGATATGTTATGAAATTGGTATGAGCAAGATTTTAAAATTTTGTTTTTTTTTTTTTTCTTGAAGCAATGGATGCTGTAGAGCAAGATTTTACGAATCTTAGTGATGGAGGGTCAGTGGAAGTGACAATGGGAATGCAACCTGATCATGGAAGTGAAAATACAGAAGATACAAATACAAGTCCGGCAAAGAAAAAGGTTAGAGTGATCAAATTAGGTAAGCGAACACTCAGGTCTCCTGTTTGGAAAACTTTCAACAAATTGACTACTGTTTTTGAAGATGGAAAAAGTCGAGCTCAATGCAAAGATTGTAAGAAAGTGGTAATAGATGATAGTCATCATGGGACGGGTAATATGAATAGACATTTGAAAACATGCCCTGGATAGACTGGTGGAGTATTGTCGGTGTCTGAATTTTGTTCCCAAAACTTTGATCCTATGGTATTCCGTGGGTTATTGGTAGAGGCCATCATCAAGCATAATCTTCCTTTTAGTTTTTCTGAGTATGAGGGAATTAGGGCTTTGTTTGCATATATATCTCCTGATATTAAGTTGCCATGTAGAAATACAATTAAAGCTTGTGCGTTGATGATGTTCAAAAATGAAAAACAAAGGCTTCATAATTTGTTAGGCTCAGTTGAAGGTAGAATTTGTTTGACATCAAACTTATGGACCTCGCAATGCATTGATGGGTATCTTGCTCTTACTGCTCACTTTGTAGACAAAGATTGGAAATTGCATAAGAGAATTTTAAGTTTTTGTCACATGCCTCCTCCTCATAGTGGTGTTGCATTATCTGAGAAAATTAATGCATTGGTGACTGAGTGGGGAATTGAAAAGAAGTTATTTTCTATTAATTTGGATAATGCTTCTTCAAATATTTCTTTTGTTAGTATTTTGAAGAATCAATTGAATCTTAGAAGTCTTCTCGTGATGATTGGTGACTTCTTTCATGTGCGTTGTTGTGCTCATGTCTTGAATTTGATAGATCAAGATGGACTTAAAGAAATTGATTCTTCGGTGATAAAAATTCGTGAATGCATCAAGTATATAAAGGGCTCTGAGGCTAGGAAACTAAAGTTTTGTGAATGTGTTAGACAAGTAGGGATTTTGGATAGTAGGAGAGGGTTGGGACAAGATGTCTCTACTAGATGGAACTTAACCTATATTATGCTAGATAGTGCAATTTTCTATTCATTTAGGGTTGAGTGATTCCAATTTTACTAGTTGTCCATCTTCTGAAGAGTGGGATAAAATAATGAAGATTTCCAAGTTGTTGGGGTACTTTTATGAGGTTACCTGCTTATTCTCTGGGACAAAGTACCCCACATCAAATTTGTTCTTCCCTAAGGTCTTCGTAATCCAACTTCAAATTAAGGCAGCCATGAATGACTCTGAAAGTTTCATGAAGAAGATGGGGACTTACATGTACATGAAGTTTGAGAAGTATTGGTCTGAGTACAGCTTGATTTTGGCAATTGCAATCATCTTAGATCCTCATTATAAATTGCATTTTGTGGATTGGGCTTACACAAAGCTTCATGGTGTGAATTCGGTTGAATTTACAAAGGTTGATGACAAATTGAATGATCTTTTTGGTGTGTACTTGGAAAAACTTTCACATCTTGATAATTCAAATACTGCAGTGAATTCAGTGCCTATTCATCAAACAGAATCTGTGGATGTTATCTTTGAGGTAACCTAAGTTTGTTTTTATTTACTTTATATATTTGTAGATTGTAGTATTAATACTATAATAAGTGTTGATATTATATTTGAAATTGACATGATGCATGATTTTTTATGATGTAGGATTTTAATAATAATTATGATGGTTCAAGTTCGATTGAAAAAAATGAATTGCAGAAGTATTTGGAGGATAAAAGAATAGATAGAAAAGTAGACATAGATGTTCTTTCTTGGTGGCAAATGGAGCGTTTTCATTATCCGATACTTTCTCAGTTAGCACGAGATGTGTTAACAATTCCCATTTCAACTGTTGCATCAGAATCTGCATTCAGTATTGGGGGTAGAGTACTAGATCAGTATCGTAGTTCATTGTTACCAGAAACAGTTCAAGCTTTGTTATGCACACGAGATTGGCTATTTGGAAAAGGAGTTAATATATTTTTATATGGTATAGTATTATTATTTTGGTAAACTTCTCATAATTTGAATGATTTTTAATGTTTGGTTTTTCTATACTTAGTTTATGCGGAAGAGAGTTCGGTCGTGGAAAACCTTACTGAAAACATCTTCAACATAACTCTTGAAGGCAATAGATCAAGCCAAAGTTCCAATACAATTTCATGATGATCAATGTAAATTGAAGATTTTGTAAATGGAGGTGTAAACTTTTGAGAACAAAAACTCTTTATCCTTGCACATTTAATACGTGTAATAGATTAGTAGTGTATGTATTATTTTTTTATTAGACTCTTATTTTCGAGTGTAGATATACTACTTAAACAACAAATATTTTATGTTTTGAAGTAATATTTATGTGGCAATGTGTGGTATGTGCAAATTTTAAAAAAAATATTTTTTTTTCTTAACGGGTCATAACGGGTCGGATCACTTTACCCGTTGGGTAAAGTGACCCGACCTGTTAAGGACCCGTAACGGGTGTAACATGACACGACCCGTTAAGATAACAGGTGTTACACGAAAACGACACAAACACGACAGACACGACCCGTTTGCCAGGCTTAAGTCTAGATGTGTTGGGTGAAACAGAAAGAGGTGAGAAAGAGGCTTCTTTCGACTTTTGCTAGTCACTTTGGACAGATCAACGCATCAAAGCACATGCTGCAAATTACTTTTTCTTGTTTAGCTTATGGGTATATTGCATTGCCCCTCAGTTTTGCTTGATTACAATCTCATACATCTTTGAAACAATGATAAAATTGTAGTAGTGAACTCTCAACTTTAATTCAATTAGAACAATGGTTTTATTAACTAAAAATTTATGATCATCGGTCCCTTAACTTATCAAAACGTTAATTATGGTCTTTTTTGTCAATTTCGTCAAAATCTCGTCAAGACAAGTCATATTAGAAGAACCATTGATACAATTGGATAAAAATTGAGAAACCATTTCTATAACGATCGGTTCCTAAATTTTACGAATTTACCAATTCAAAAGATGTTTTTCTTTGAAATTACTGTTTTAATTATTTTATATGATTTTATATTATTATTGTATATTATTTAAATGTTTTCTAATTCGATATTTTAAATATTTTATAATTTTATTTTGTGGCCCGTGGGGCCCACACCCCACTTCCCTTCCTTCCCTGTGTCAATTCTCTTCCTGTTCACTCGGGAACTCTCTGGAACACTCTCCCTCATCTCTCTCCCTCCTCCCTCTGCAACAACAGCAACAACGACCCGAGGCACCACCTCGCCTCGCCCCTCCGGCGAGCTTCACCGCCACCAAAAACCATCACTGTCTACCCTGCACCTCCCCGTTCCCCTCGTCCCGCTCTCTCTCCTCTGTGCTCGAGGCACAGCTGCAGGAATGGCAGCCACCATCGCCATACTTCCCGGCGAGATTTCACGGTGCTCCGACCTGGGTAAGCCTCGGGATGCTTAAGATTCTTTCATTCTCGTCATGGTGGTTTAATTATAACCTAGAGTTTGCGATTTAAACGTCGGATTTGCACAGGAACAGAGAATGCAAGAAACTCATGATCGATTGAACTTCATGGGCATGTTTGATACGCATGATCGATTTGGCTCGGACTAATTGTAGGGAATGGTTTGAATTGGTTTGGCTTGGACTGATTGTAGGGAACGGTTTGAATTGGTTTGGCTCGGACTAATTGTAGGGAATTGTTTGATACGCAAGTTCGATTTTGATAGCAGATGAAAGCCAGATGCAAGATTCATCATCGTTGTGAGGTTTCCTGTCCTTGTGTCTCAAGTTAGGGGTTTGGATTGGTTCTATTGAGGCCCGTCATTTTGGTCCTCATCCGTTTGGTTCAAGCTGAGATTGGTGTTGCATGTGCAGAACAGTTTGTAATAGCATTATCTCCTTCAACCTTCGCAATTACAAGATAATTCACAATCAAAGATATCCGAGTATGCAACAAATTAAAATCAATCACATTTGGGGATCCCATCATTTGGTCGGTTCGAATTGTAATGAGGGCTTCTTCCCCCATTGTGAAAGTACTAAACTTGATCTATCAAATTGAAACAACGAAAATTGCGCTCATTTCCAGTAGCTTCGGGTTGGCAATTAGTTGATTTGCTACAGTGGTACCAAGCAAACCATGCAATGAGTATCTGCTTCGATAAGGAAACCTTAGACACCCAATTCAATGCCCAACTGATAATCCAAAACAATCAAAGGTTAATTTCTGGCCAGAGGCGAGCTACTAAAGAAATATCGTCTCATGAAATTTTCGGTGTTGTTTTCACTCTCAACATCTCCCAAAATCTCTGAGAGTCTCACATTTTTCGTAACTGTAATCATTAACTTACCCCATAAACACTTGAGAAATCTCAAGACTCATTCATTTCATGACAAAGAAAGACTTCTTTCACATCTACAAAAAAACCGTAAGGCAAATATGAAATAGCAATATAAACTCCATTAATCTTTTCTTTTCCTTTTTTCACACAAACTCAAATAATCTCAATCAACTCTTCTGGAGCTTCTTCAACGGCGGTTCGCCTCTCGTGGTTGTGGTCCGAGTAAGAAGTCTGTGTTTGATGATGACGTCATCTTCGAGCGGTCCGAAGTTCGCCGCCACGCCCTCTCCTCGCCCTGAAGCTTTTCTTCCTTTCGCCAGCATCGGAACTGACAGCAGATTATGAGTCCGGAGGAAATTCGATTTCGAATTTGACAAACCCTAATCTAATCTCCAGAATGAAAAATCCCGTTCACAGCGGAGGATCCAGCTTCTGTTTGTGGAATCCAACGGCAAAGGAAGATGTTTGTTGCGTTTGTTCGAGGTTGATTGGACGGTCGGATGAGCTTCACGTCAGAACACTGCTACACCGGATCAAGAATGTTTATTTTGTTAATAGGGCTTATATTATACTTGGGACAGAAACCACATTTGTCACTAAAAAACAGAAGCAATTAGGGTCCGATATTAATTCAAGAGACGAAACCAAATTCTAGAGGGAAAGAAGAAAAAAGTGGCAAACCAGAAAAGGACTCGGCCTTGCAATAAATATCCTGCAGGTTCCAACAAGTAGAACTGTTATATAATTCGCTTGTTACGTAATTTTCTGCTTACTATCAAAGTTCTAAAAGACGCTAAAAGCTTATCGGGCAGCTAGTTGGGGCCTAACGCCTAGACAGGGTTTGAGCGGATTTTTAACTTTATATAACATAAAAATATGAATGTCTACTTATACATAGAAAAAATACATAATTATATTGCGCATAAAATAAAATGACATATATATATTATACAGTATTAAAACATATTGAAAATATAGAAACAAACAATTATTTAATGACTATTCATCCAAGTATTTAACAAGTATCTTACAAGTACTAAAATAATACAATGGAAAATGAAAATTATATATTTTCTAAGTAAGAGTTGCGACCAAAGCGTGGTGCCTAGACGAGTCTAGACGGGTTAGGTGGGTGCCGTGGAGGTTAGGTGGGCGGCTAGGCAGGTTTATGTGACCTTTCTTAATTTTTCAAATGCCTTGAAATTAATCGGGATGGTGGTCAGCCGCCTATGGTGTAGGCGGTTCTAGACAAATTTTTAGAACAGTGCATACTGCAATGTTGAAAATGGTTTGAGAACTCTGAGTTTGAGCATTGACAGAAAAGGTTGTATACCAAAAAAATTTAAAGTCTCCACGGAGAAATATGCTAAAGCACGAAAACACCATGAATGCATCATATTTCCAAGAGCTAAAGGAAAAGATTTAGAGGATCTTCCATTGTCCACATTGTTTCGCATACTTCTAATAACACAGATGATTTTCTCTCTCAGTGGCTTTAGTTTCGTGATCCAATAAAATACTGCATAAGGATTCTGTCAATGAATTTCTGTTTGTCAAAGGAAGCTGCTTTATTTTGGACACCAGAACGAGTTAACAGGTAATGAGGCAGAGGTTTACTGAAATTCAATACAGGACTAATTGCAACTAGGAGGTTTACTGAAATGAATTCTGAGAAAGCATATTACCCTTTATAAAGTACTTCTTTTGGAGAAACTGGATGATTAAATTGGCACAAGACGATTAGTCGTATTTCAAGCTCTTGATAAGTGATTCCTTAGCAGAGACTGATGAGCTTCCACTTGATCCTGCACCACCAAAATGTTCAGTTGTTTGCTTCATATTAAGGGCACTTTGCACGTCTGCCGATTTGGGGAGAGCACAATGAGGGTCGTCCATAGGCTCGTAAAGCGAAATGCTATTGTAGAGGGTGTTGAGGTCTTCTGCATCTTGTTCGTACACCATGCGCACCCCACACTTCTTCAACTTCAAACATTTGTTGGTTTCCGTTCCCGAACAAAAGGTCTTGAATGAAAACTCAAATTCAGCGAAGTCACCTTTCCAATAATTATTAGGATCACCACGTTTATAAGAAAGATAGAGTAACCAAAGGTGATCTGACTGAACCTTGCCAGCTTTATGATAATAAACCCCATTCACAAGCAAAGAGGTGTTCATCAATCCGTCTACTATCGAAAGACATTTAATTCCGCATGCATGACATTCACAATCAAGTTCAAGGGCAGCTGGGTTTTGAGGTCCAAAAACAGCGCATAAAACAAAACCCATCAACTTGCCTTTAGTTGGATGTACATCATCATGCACCATTACAACTAACGAATCTCCCACTCTTTGATTATCGAACCATTCTGGCATTTCACTTCCTGGAGCTACAATATTGAAACTGTGGACGACGAAAGGAAGGGTTCCCTGTAACATAGAAACAATTATATTAATGAAAACAAGTTGAGAGAGAGAGAGAGAGAGAGAGAGAGTACCTGCAGGAATCGATGTAACATCAAAAATATCATGTTATTCTTCGCTTCATTGCCAATCAATCTGTAGCAATTTATTGCTCTTAAAAAAAACCACCTTAATCTACTTATATTTGGTGGATGTGGCAACAAATTTAAGCAAGTACAGTCGTCAGTTGTTACAGTTAATTCTTCATTTGATGGGAGGTCTGGTAATTCTTGAAGACTTTTGCAACTCTCCAAGTTCAAAAACTTGAGATTATCAAGCCACCTAATGCTTGCAGGAAGGCTAACGAAATCATTACCCCGAAGATTTAAGTCCTCTAGAGAGGACAAACAACCGATATCATCTGGGATTGCTCCTTCAACAAGATTGCAGTCACTTAGATCTAGTTTACTCAAAGAAAACAAATAATCTGAAGAAGTCAAAACCAAACCCATACGGTCAGGGTTTTTGGTTGAAAATAAGGAAAACTGGAGGAACAAATGCCATGATTTAGGCGGAGGCCCTTTACATCCACGTAGAGATAGTACTTTGAGACTCTTCATACGAAAGAGAGATGATGGTGGCTCTCTTATCGCAGTTCCACTCAAATCAAGCTCCTCCAAGCACTCCATTTCCTCCCAATTTTCCGGAATTGTGTCAAGTTTTGAGCATCCAGACACGCTGAGATTTTTAAGAGACTTCAGACTACAAATGGCAGTATGAAGACATAACAGACTTTTACAATCTTTGAGATCCAACGAAATAAGCCCAATCAGATGATCAATCGAAGAAGGTATTTCCTGAATAGCAGTCCCATCTAAAGAAAGAATCCTTAAATTTTTCATGTTTCCCCCGAATTCAGGAATCATTTTCAGTTTTGAGCAGCCAGAAAGAATAAAAACTTCAAGAGATTCCATTTCTAGCACACTTGGAAGACTCTCAATACCATTACAGTTTCTAAAATTCAAAACTTTAAGGCTTTTAAGAACTGCAAGGGATATGTGAATCTCATCTAAATTCGTACAAGATTCAAGCACCAGACGCTCAAGATTTCGAACACCTGTAAAATCTGGGGTCGCGATCAAGTTTTGAGAGTAACTAAGATCGATATATTTCAAGCAGGACATGTACTGTACAAAACATAAAAGATGATAAATCATTAGCTTGAAAATACAAATAAACAACAAATTGTATAATGGCTTTTTATCAAATCTCTTACCTTTATTCCACTCCAAAGCCGATCAATTTTGCTATGATGCAGACTAAGTTCAGAAAGTTCATCAGGTTGAAAAGTTGGTGGGAGGGATTTTGAAGGATACCAACTCCAATCAAGCACTCTCAATGCATTCGAAAGATATTCGGGGCCAACAGAGAGGTTCAAATTATGGAGTTGGAGAAACTTTAGTTTACTTATCTTAGTGAAGCTTTCAGGATTCCACTGAACTTGTTCTAATTCAGGCAAGCGTAAGACAATGCCTTCAATTGCTTCTGTTCCCTAATAAACAAGAAGAAAGGGAAGGTTAATTTCATAAGCAAGTTTTATACATATTCAAACAAATTTGGTTGCTATCCAGAATGCATATTTCTCATACTTACCGTATTGTTCATGAATACGTCAAATATGTCCTTATGAAGCCACAACCTACTACCGGGCTCTTCTCGTCGAACAATTTCCCATCCCATTTCTTGTGTCAAATCATGCATCATCACATACCCATCCAAAATACTTAAAAGAGATTTCTCAATGAGAACATCTATCACAATGCGACCACTTAAGCCACAATTTTCTAGTATTTCAGTTACTCGTTCCTTGTCATTCCCAATATGGAAACATGCAACATCAAGAAAAACTCTCTTCTCAATCTTATCAAGGCCATCATAACTTATTTTCAGAGTTTCAAAAATTTCTGCGTTAGGAGCTTTCTTTAGCTTATCCAGCGCACTAGTCCAGGCATCTCTCTCTCTTTTATACAAAGATGATCCCAGGACCAAAAGAGCTAAGGGATGACCTCTAGCATAATTAACGAAACACTTACACAGCTCCACATAATCTTCTTCTGGCTGATCTGTTTTGAAGGCTTTCAAACTAAAGAGATGAAGAGCTTGATCATCATTTAGTCCCAAAACCTCATATCTTTTAACTATACCATGCCCGATTAGCAAACGCTCATATCTTTTACACCTAGCCTGTCGTATAGGTCACACTAGGTGACTCCGACTCGTGTGCTAGCATAGATTGATGAACAATAGGTCCAATCGTACAGGTCACACTGGGTGACTCCAACTGGCATGCTAGTTTAGATAGATTTCACACCTGACTTACATTTATTATTGCTGAGATACTGTAGCATGACATGCTTCTGTTTTCACTGCACTTGTGCATTCATTTTCGTACCTACGTAGTATTATTATTTTTTGAAAACCATACAGGTTTTACGACGATGGGTTATAACGCTTTCAAAAGGTTTTTATTAAAACTTTATTTTCAAGCCCGCTCACCCTTGTTTTTCGCCCCTCCAGGTTCTATAGCAGAGTTTTCGTACCGACGAGGATTATTGGCAAATCTTGGTGTAGGCGAGATTACCTTCGATGGTATAATTCTCATCCTATTTTACTGTATTGTACTTATGCTCTGTCATCACATGTGAATTGGGATCATTCCCATTCACAACGCACTCTTGTATTTAGGCACTTTTAGGTTTAAATTTATTCACATTTTTCACATCACTACACTTTATGACTTCGTCACTTTCCAGGTATCGGCCAACACAGCTCGATTCAGAGTCCAAGTGGACATACTGGGCCGGAGTGTGTCATTTCGAATGTTTTTTGGTTTGTCATGTGTGTAGGAATGTGAAATAGACTATCTGAGGTAATCAATTGGGATTGGTCACTTCATTTTTTCTTTCTATTTATTTATGTTGGGATTGGTTACCTTCTTCTTTTTTTTTTCCCTTCCAGATTAGAGATTTTAATCTTCTGCACTTCAAATTTGAAGCACGCTGTAGTACAGAGTATACAATTCCTTGTTGGCTATGGATGTCTTATTATCGAATTAGGTTCAATTTGTATTTAATACATATAATTGTATTGGTAGATCTGGAGTACTTTCTCTGCATGCTTAGGGTAAATTGTTTGCTTATTCTGGGAGTAGCTATTCCGAGATTGATTGATAGGGTGAATATTGAATCTGTCGACATTAAAGGGACTTGGTTAGTATGGTAAAAGTTATGTTACTTTATTTTCACGGAACTCAGAGAATAATTTTATTTTTGTATCAAAGATTCATTCATGATCACATATTCATGATCACATTTTTACCAAATCAAAATCTCTTTTTCAAGTTTTAATATTTCACTTTAGTTTTTTGTTTTTGCCTTTTTGAATGGGTAGTATTGTAATTTTGGAGACATGCTACATGAATGCATTTATACATTGTTGTACTAACAAAATATAAATTTTTAGTTTCAGATCAAAATGAGTATATTTCCAATCCAAAGTTTGGGTCCATTTGAAGCTAGCAAAAAATTTAGAGTTTGTGTTAGCAAAATGTGGAGACAAAAAGTTTTCAAATCTGATATTCAGTTTTCTCATTTGCACTGCATATTGGTTTATGGATTGGTAAGAAAAATATCTACTTACACTATTCCAATGTAAAGATTAGTTAACTAATTTTTTAGTTTAATGGCTGTTTGGATGCATAAAAATCTTTTTTTGTTCAAATGTCCTTTTGAATGGATAATGAAATCGATATTAATTTTGTTTTTATCCTTTGCTTTATCGGTTTATCTTACTTATTTGAGCAAAATGCAAATTCTAATATTGCATGGTTAAGCTCTAAAATTAGAACACAATTTCTTTACATGAAACTGAAGTTTTCTCTAATTGAGAACTCTCCATTCGTTCAAATTTTGTGTTTTTTTTTTCTTTTAACCGGTGGACTTAAAAAGAGATCAAGTATGCAGGGGATTGGTAGGATCAACATCTAAGAGGTAGAGGTCAACTCTTTCTCTCATGTTAACTTCTACTATGATCTTTTTGTTATTAAATTTTGGTGGAAACATTGTTTAGTATAAACCTTATCACAATAGAATATAACGATGGATTAGAAATAGAGAGGTGTTAATTTGATTTTCTGTTTACTTTAGCGATTCTGGATAATGATCATGAATGTTGGTGATTTTGTTTATTTCAAGCATGTTATCGTGATAGCTGAATGATTCATATTGCAGAACATGTTTAAAAAATTATAGCTTTAACTGATCACTCATCTTTAATCTCTCTCCCTCCCTCTCACTATTGCAGTAACTCCCATTGTATTCCGTTTGCTTTTGTTGCTGCTAGGGATGGCAACGAGGGCAGATTGGGTTTGGATGTGCCATTTCCATAACTGAACCCGTTTGTTTCCTCCGTACCTGAAACCGTAAAAAGCACGAACGGGTATTCCCTGCCGTAACCGGTAGCGGATTCCCCGTAGGGTAACGGTTTTTCCATTAGAAAAGTTAACTTTCCACAAGTAAATATTCCCCGACGTGCCTTCGCTGTTCGCTGCGAGCGGATTGATCGGTTCTTCTGGGAAACCCTTGACATCAACTTGTGGCTGCACATCAAAAATCCCAAAATTCAATAAAAATGCAAGCTTTATCAGTTGAGGCAGTTCATCAAACAGGTTGTGTGCATAAGAAAGGAGGTGATCTTACCTTGGACCAGGACCAGTACTGGATAGAGTCAGAGGAGGCAGAAGGCTCGCAGAGCTGAGAGGAGGCAAGGAATCGCTCGCCGACGCAGATGAAGCCAAGGTTGAAGGCTTGAAGCAATATCTGCTGCTACTAATTTGTAAGAGAAAACAATTAGGTTTTTCTTCTCAAAATTGAAGTATTGAACCATCTTTTCTGACGTTGGGAGTTCTTCCAAATTCCATGATTGATTGACAGCATTAAAATATTTAGAATAAAGATAGAGACCTTTGAAGTTTGCAGTCTGCGCTACCCAATCTGCAGGCTCAAGAGGTATATTTTTTGGAAGAACTCAAAGGCTTTGAAGTGTGCATTGCACGCTCAAGACCTTTGTAGTCTCTCATAGAGTATTAAAGTTGCTGGAGAAAAAAAATAACAGTAATATTATATTTACCATGTTTTTATATCATATTTATATATTATTTTATAATAACATATGATGTGGACAGTCACATCATTTAATTAAAAATTATTTAATAAACAAATAATTAAAAAAAACTGAAATTAAATAATAATTGTATCATACGAAGAGCTTATCCTTCGTTCCACGTTGAACTTCTTCTCCCGTTTCTTTTCCACTCCAATTCTTTCACTCTATTTTTTCAGATCAGTCAAATCAACTACAATCTAAATTAAAAAGGGATTGATACTTTTACGTTGTTGAGTGTTGGTAGACTGGTCGATGGGTATCTTGCAGAAATTGCACATGACCCAAATCTTAACCTCAGTAGTTTCGTAGAGTTGTCACAATCAATTCCCGAGTCAGCAAGGCCAATTCACGATGGGCTGTACAAAGCCATCGACATCCACCTGAAGGTAAAAAATATAAAATTTAATCCTATAACCATAATTCCCGAGTCAGCAAGGCCAATTCAGGATGGGCTGTATAAAATTCAGAACGAATGCCCTTATAACCATAATCCAATTCGAAACCAAACAATTTATCCAACGGTTATCCATAACCGTAAAAAATATAAAATTTAATCCTCGAAACCGAACTGTTCGGGTTGATTACCTGTAGGAATCGGATTTGACGGATTAAATTATTATCTCTAGTTGCTGCCGGTCTGCAAGTAAATCTTTACTTTCCATACAAAGTTTGCATTTTTCTATTCCTGACACAATTATTTGGCACTGTTTTCTTTCAAGTTGGTGTGTGAGTGCATTTTCCACGGATCTTTCTGTTGAACTCTCACTGAGTTCCGATTTTGATCACAATATTCTTTGAATTTTCTCCTCTGTCCTATGTTCCACTTATTTCAACTTCCAATTTCTCCACATTAAATGTTCATGGTTTGAGGGCATTGTTCTAACATTATATTATTTTATTTATTTTAACAAAATTGCATTCAGTTCTTCCAAAATAAGAGGAAAAAAATGTGTGATTGTCTGCAAAGCACTTACCAAAGACAGAAATATAATATGGAAGTATATCTTTTGTATGTTTACATTTTGAATTTTCCAGATTGGGTATATGATTAAATGTATTCCAGCAGCTTCTATCATGCAAATATGATTGATAAACTTTTATCCCATTAACTTTCTCTGCAATACATGACATGTTTTTGGTTTTCTAGCTACTGAGTATGGAACGCCAAATAACCCACTTAATCAGGTAGCTCCACATATTTTGAGAGTTTTTTTTTTTTTTTTTTAATTTATTTTTGTTTAGTTGTATATTTCGATTTTGCTTCCCCTTAAGGCAAACATGAGATTATCGACTCTCGCTAAATAACTGTCTTTCGATTTGTTTTTATTTTGTGTTCCTTGTATAAACAGCTACATATCAACATCAACAGCATCAACGGTGTGTTGCCAGTTCAATTTGCAAGGAAGCTTTTGAAAATGCTCAAGGAGAAGGAGAGGTCATAAATTTCGTTTGGATTTTATACGTTGGAAAATGTTATATTCCTGTGCATATTTGATTTTTATGAGGTCAAATAGGTTCTGTATTAGTTGTGTGGGTTGATATAGGGGTGTTGGGTTGTTTGAGTTGATCCTAACTGATTTTGATATTATTGATTTGTCAGTGTATTAGGTTGATTGAATTTGATTTTGAAGCTTGGGAAGAGAATTGGTTCTCAAGGTTTGATTTTCATGTGTTTGGTTTTTGGTTTAGTCAATTCTTTGCTGAAAAGTTGTATTCCGTTGAGCTACGATTTTTTGTACGTTGACTTTATCGATTTAATCTTTAGTATGTGAACATCTTTCTAACGTTTTCAATGTAAATATCATTAATCTTCTATCACAATGAGCAATTTTTTATATCATTCAAACGTAATCTTTCTTACAATTTTTTATCTTACCACAACGTTCGGATAACATTTTCTAGTTATCTATTCTAAAGTTGAGGAGGGATTTGACTGTAGCTTAGCTACAGTTAAATTATTGGCTCTCGATTTTGCTTTATTTAAATCAACACCATCATATCTCTGGCTGGGTTGGAAGGTAATTATCAAAAGTTAGGAGAGTAATTTTGCCCGTAGGGTTTGGGATGGATTGGGTGGCTTAGCGCATAGAGAGGGAGATGGAGAGCGAAACGGTGTTGTCATTCGGTGAGGGTTTCGGGGATGGGAGGCCATGCCGCCTCTGATATAGAGATAGAGAGAGAGAGGGTGAGGGAGACAGAGCGACAGAGAGAGAGGGAGACTGAGGAGTAGGGATCACTGCTACTGACGACTCGGTCACTGTCTCAGATCTCCTCCTCAACGCCAACGCCCACCGAGTCCAGTGTCTCGCTCTCCAAGCCCAAAGAAGGCAGCTTCGCCGACATGATCGATAAAGCTTTGGAGAACGAGTTCAAAGAGAATGATTAGAACGAAGGTTAGTAGTGGATCCGATGTTCTTCCTCTTTCTATACATTTTGGTTCAAATTAGGGTTTTAGGTCGAAACCCGAAACGAAGAGAAGAACATATGAAGGATCTTTAGATTTTGTGTTTGGCGGAGAGGAAAAGATTACAAATTTGTTAAGAAAAGTTCGTTATGGTAAAATTTCATTCTTAAAAATCCATCAGATCATGCTTAAATTGTTAAATGCACACTCTCTCTCTTCTTTCTCTCTCGCAGTGGAACTCTCTCCTCCCCATACTCAACCCTCTACTTCTTCTCTGATTCGTGGTTGGGTGCAGCGGCAGCACAGAGCTTTCGCCGGAGGAAGAAAGGATTTTTATACGAGACATTGCTTTGGCTGCTGAAGCCAATTTCAAAGAGGGCGATGTCGTCTACTTGCTCACCCGAAGGTTCCAACTTTTTTGCATTCTTTTGGGTTTATTTATTTATTTATGAAATTTGATGACTAATTTTTAAATAATGAGAAATTAGTTCTTCGCTGTGAAATGTTCATTTTTCAGTGTTTCTTTTAAAACAATGAAATCTTAATCTTCTATCAAATGGGTTGTAATTTCATATGTTTTAATGTAAACAGTTCACTGATTTTAGTTGTGGTGTGTTGGTCAGAATTACAGGATTATTAAGGTTTTATTTTGTGATTTGGATTTTGAAATTGAGTAATTTTCTGCTGTGTGTCTTTTGAGTAGGCGTGGGATTTAGTTTAATGCCAGGGGTTGTAATGGGTGGATCGAACTTTTCGAATTTCAATTCCCCCTAATTCTCTTCATTCCAACCACATATTTGAGGATATGGTTTTAATTGTTGTTTGCACTTTGAGCTTTTGGCCATACCTGTTATTTGGATGCTAGGAAAATTTACATGCTATTTGGATACTAGGAAAATTCATGTAACTCAAACAAGATTGTTTTCATAATTTTCTGAGAAATGTGGAATTTTGTTTCAGATGGTATTGACTATTTTTCAAAATCCTATAATCTGATCAAAGTTCTGAATTTCTATTAAGACTAATATTAGTTGTGAGATTATGAAATTTCGTAAATCGTTTTTGGTTCAAGAAATTCCAATATTCTTTATTGGTCCTTGAGATTTTCATTAGTATTGAGTATAGTGGTTTTTGGGGCAGGTTTGCATGGAAGATGAGAAGACGATCTCTGTATCCTTTGAAACACGTATTTTGGAAAGCTTGATGATTGGCCTATGTTTCATGAACAGGTTTGCATGGAAGATGAGAAGACGATCTCTGTATCCTTAGAAACATGTATTTCAGAAAGCTTGATGATTCGCCTATGTTTTCGCGAACAGGTTTGTTCTTTTCTAAATGTTTATATTTAGTCTATTTACGCTCAAGTGTTAAGTCATGCTAATACAGATGTGTGCAGGTTATCTGTTTTCACCATAATAATTTATGAAGAATGTATAGGAACGACAATGATTGAGTGGATTATGTGAGTCTCACCATATAAACAGTGGATTCCACCTGATTGTTCCCCCTCTCAAAACATAGTTTGGGTGGATTAACTAAGATATATGTAATTAATCTTTTTGTTTGTCTATGAGTCATGGTTTTGAATTTTTGATGGTTGGCGACTAATAATGTAACATATAATTAATGGGACAGGCAGTGGCACATATTTGGGCAGGGCTTGGAGAGCCGGACCCCAGATGGTGTATGCCTACACCAGCATGACTAAGGTGGTTAACCCTGCCGGCTGGAGCGACGATGACCACACCGAACGTGACAAGTAAGCAGATTATGTCAATTAAAACATTATTAAGCGTTTTCATATGATTAGTTTTGAGAGTTAATAATATAATTTGAAATTGCAGAAATGTGGCCTACAAAGAGTACAAGTGCATGGGTCCGGGTTCGTGTACTTAAAATAAGAGAAATTTGAGCAAATAACTGACAGAAATTTGAGCAAACTGACTGACAAATAAGTCAAGCCTTTCACTAGCCTTGGATGTATTCAGGGTATGGTTGCTTCCTCCTCCATATCGAAAAGTGTGTCTATATATATATATATATATATATATAGATTAGGTCTTCGACTGTTTTGGAGGAACTTCCACTTTCACTGGGTCCTGCTTCATTACTGTATTGTTCACATGTTCGCTTAATCATGTCTCGTTGTACAGTTTTTTATTCCTCAAAATCACAATTGGTAATATCCTCACACAAAGAAATGCTTCTGTTGGAATATTGTTTCATCATTCGGTTGAGCTCTTCTTCTGTATCTTGTTCATACACTGGAAGGACTCCGCACTTCTTCACCTTCAAGCATGTCTTTCTTCCAACAGCATCTGTTGGTACACTGGAAGGACTCCGCACTTCTTCACCTTCAAGCATGTCTTTGTTGCGACAGCATTTGTTGGTTTGAAACTAAACCAAATCTGATCCCCACATTCCATCCCCCAACGATTGGTCCCAGGTTGGAATCGCAAAATGTATTCCCTAGGTAGAAAGACCAACGAAAGGTGATCTGACGCTAACTCGTTAAACTCAATTCCGAAGCCGTCCGCACCGACCGTACTAAGGGTGTTTGAATATGAAAATTGAAACCTTTGACGTCTTGAAAGGTGTCCATGATTGGGAGCTGAAATATTTTGAGCAGGTACAAATAGAGCGCATACAGCAAACCCCACCAGCTTGCTTTTGCATGAGTGCGAAGGTAGCTTCTCAGTCACCGTATCTCCCATGCTTTGGTTATTGAACCACTCAGGAATTTCACTTCCAGGAATTTTTATAGTCACATCGTGCCCAAAATGAGGGAGCTCCTGCACAAAGGAACAATGTAAATAAATGTACACAACTAAGGAGACGAGGGAGGATAGGAGAAAGAGAAATACCTGAATGAATCTCTTTATCGTTGAATACATTATGGCATTGCAACATTGATTTCCAGCCAAACTGTAGCTCAAAAAGCCTACGTCTGTTAAATGGTTGCTTAATGAAATGACTGACGGTTGTTGAAGCCTTTTGCAATTTTCCAACTTAAAAATCGTCAGCTTAGAAAGCCCACTGATGCTTGCAGGAAGGCTAACAAAATGGTTTCCGCTAAGATTTAGAATTGCTAACGAGGACAAGGAACCAATATCATCGGGAATTGCTCCTTCGCAAAGATTGCAGTTCTTCAGATTTAAATCCCTCAGCTTAGAAAGCCCACCGATGCTTGCAGGAAGGCTAACCATACGGTTTCCGCTAAGATTTAGTCTTTCTAAAGAGGACAAGAAACCAATATCATCAGGAATTGCTCCTTCACAAAGATTGCAGTTCTTCAGATTTAATTCCTTCAGAAGGCGTAAATCTTTCAACGAAGCTAAGACCACACTCGCAGGGTGAGAAATCTTTGCTGGAAATTCGCTAGAAGTGGAGAAGGAACGCCATGATCTAGCTGGTGGTGCATTGCATCCAAGAAAATTTGATAGTACCAAATTTTTCACTGAAACCAGGGAGGATTCCGCCTCTCTCAAAGCAATTCCACTTAAATCAATCTCCTCCAAACTCCTACGTATAACTGAGGAAGGTATTTCCTGAACGCCAGTTCCGCTTAAAGAAAGCTTAGAGAAAATTTTCATTTCTCCAACAAATTCTGGAATCTTTTTCAGTTTTGAGCAGCCAGAAATATCAAATACTTCAAGAAGTTCCGTTTCTACCCTATTTGGGAGACTCTTCATACTTTTACAGTCTTTAAGATTTAAAAGTCTAAGCCTTCTGAGAAACGCAATGGATGAATGAATCTTTACTAAATTTGTACAACCTTCAAGAACCAGCATCTCGAGATTTTGAATACCTGTGAAATCTGGGGTCCTTGTCAAGTTGTGGGAGTAACTAAGATCGATAGACTTCAACTTGCCCAAGCGCTGTACAAAATAGAAATGTTACAACAGTTCATGTTCAGAAACTACAATTATTGTAATTGACAAAGTAAAAATCAATTGTCCAATCATCTACCTTTATTCCATCCCAAAGGTGATCAATTTTGCTATGCTGCAGACTAAGTATTGTAAGTTCATCCGGTTGAAAAATTGGTGGTAGACATTTGGAGGGATAACAGCTCCATTTGAGAACTCTTAAAGCATTCGGAAGATACTTGGGGCCCTTAGAAAGGCTCACATTATGAATGTCGAGCAACCTCAGCTTACACATCTTAATGAATGCTTCAGGATTCCAGTGTGCCTCTTCAAATTTACTCAAGCGTAAGACTATGGCTTCAATTGCCTCTGATCCCTGATAAATAAGATTAAAGGAATAGGTTAATTTCGTAATCAAGTCTCTTATCATGTTAAATAATATTATAGTTTCCTATCCAAGCTTTGGTATTTTCATGTTCACACAATTTCTTACCGTATTCTTTGCGAGCACGTGCAGGATATCATTACGAAGCCACAACCGACTACGACCACCTGGCTCCTCATAAGACTCTTGTCGAACAATCTCCCATGCCATTTCTTGAATCAAATCATGCATAGACACAAACTTGTGTGAAATATACAAGAGAGATTTCTCAATAAGAACATCGATCACAATGCGAGCGCCAACAAAGCCACAGTTTTCTAGTCCTTCAATGACTCGCTCCTTTTCACAATACTTATGGAAACATGCAATGTCAAGGAAGATTCTCTTCTCAAACTCATCTAGTCCATCATAACTTATTTTCAATGTTTCAAAAATTTTCATATCAGGAGCTTGCTTCAGTTTATCTAGTGCACTCTTCCATTCAGCTCGACCTCTTTTGTACAAAAAAGACCCTAAAGTTTTAAGAGCTAATGGAAGACCACTTGCATACCTGATGAAACATTTAGACAGTTCAAAAAAATCTTCTTCCAACTCATCATCTTTAAAGGCTTTCCGACTAAAGAGAAAGAGAGCTTCGTCTTGGGTTAATGGCTTAACCTCATATGCCTCCTCTATACCATGTTCAACTAACAAACGTTCATTTCTAGTTGTAATGACAATTCTACTCCCGAAACCAAACCACTCTTTTTGTTTGACCAACATTTCCAGTTGGTCTGATTGATCCACATCGTCGAGTATGAGAAGAACCTTTTTATTACATAAACACCTACTTATCCTAGTGATTCCACTAGAGGCATTCCAAACTTGTATGTTATTTTCCCCTAAGATTTCAGAAAGAAGCTGCTTTTGTAGATGAGCTATACCATCCTTAGAGCACACCTCTCTAACATTAGCAAGAAAGCTGCTACCTTCAAAATCATGGGAAATTCTCTCGTAAATTAATGTTGCTAGGGTTGTCTTACCCACTCCACCCATCCCCCATATCCCTATAAAGCGAACATCATTTGCATCTGTATCTAAAAGCAAATCTATTTCCTTCAGTTTAGAATCGATTCCGACAAACCTCTCTGAGGAATCTAACATTGACAACGTAGGATGCACTTCCTTCCATAGTGTATTGACGATTCCTTGGATAAGCTCTGTATCATACCTACAAGAAGAACAAACAACATAAATACAAAATCATCACAACCTAAAATAAAGTGCATGGTAACGTTGAAACTCAATGGTAAAAAATTGTTCTTCAGCTATATACGTCAGTTGTTGCCTCATGCTTACCTACAATCCTTTGAATTCCACCCAGCGAGATTAGCCACCCTTTCTAACGACTTTCTCCACTCATTTACCTCCTCCATGTGTTCTTGATAATTTACTTCATGCTTTGCAAAGGCTTCGCCAAAACTCCCTCGTTGATGGCGTACATCAGAAGGATCCACGCCATAAAAAATGGGAAAAATTCTCTTTTTCTCTTTCTTGCAACTAACAATATGAGTAAGTTCTCGCAAACACCAACTTGAAGAAGCAAAGTTTGTCGAAAGAACTATGATTGCAGACCTTGATTGGTCAATTGCCTTCAGGAGCTCTGGATTGATATCTGTCCCTCGTTCAAGTTCTGGTTCGTCCCTGAAAGTCTTGATTCCTCGCGCCTCCAACTGTCTGTATAAATGATCTGTAAAACCCCGGCGGGTGTCTTCACCTCTGAAACTCAGAAACACATGGTATTTCCATGGAAAAACTGCAGGAGCAGAAGCCCGGGCCATTTGGCTGCTCAACGCAAATCTGAAGTGTTCCAAGCAATCAGCTCTAAGCACAGAAGTGACACTTCGACACGCCGACGATACGCCCCTGACACGGGTTGGACAAGGTCAAGACACCTGTCAGTGGGTTGGATACACCTCCAGCACGGGTTGAATTATTTTGAGGAAGTTTTTGATATCTTGAAATCTTTGGGGCAATTTGGAAATATAAAAACTGAAGCCTAAAACTTCAGTCTCTAATCTATTCTGCGCCTCCCTCCTCTTCTCCCACACTTTCGAAGCGGTGGATGATCTCAGATGGTTGGCTGGTGGAGCGAGGAAGGAAAGGAAGAGAGGTCGAGGTGAAAGCAGCAGAGAGAGAAAGCAATGTGAAGGATAGAGAACAAAGAGGATCTGATGGAGATAAGGGAAGAGGCGAGAGTGGTGATGGAGTTGGTGGGAAGGGTTTCATATATAATAAAATAGAAAAAGTAGAAGAGAAGACGACGAAAGTTCTTGGAGTGTCATCCTTCAAAGTGATGGAGTTGGTGGGAAAGGTATCATATATAATTTCCAAGAAAGACTTGAGAGGATGTTTCCTTCTGGCATTCTTTGATTTGTTTAATTGAATGACTGATGACACGGTGCGTTTGTTTAATTTTGTGTTAGTGTCCTTTACTATTGACAACTTCTTTTTCGTTTTTAAATGAAGAAACACGAAACCAATCAAGGTAGAGAGAGATGCTAGCTTCGTGTAAGAGGCGAGGAAATTTCAAATTGGTTTAAGGTGATTTAGGTGAGAAACTGAAATAAGAGAGAAAGATGTTTTTGTTGACGTTTGTTAGTCAGATTGGATTTGATTCAACTCATCAAAGCACATGCTTGCCAATTCTTTTTTCTTCTTTAATTTATGGGTCCCTCACCACTCTTCTTCTTTCTTTTCTGTCAAAGTTGCAGATCTCACTGTTTATCACCTTCGTCTAGCACACACCCATTCCTCCTTTGAATGTAAAGCTCAAATCTCTCCGAGCCTCTCTCCACCACAGACATCATACCCCGTCCAACAACATTTATTTATTATTTTAAATTATGTTTTGTTTTGTTTCAAAATTTTTGTAATTAGTTAAATACGATTTTAAAAGTCTTCTTTTAAAAAGATATATATTATTAACATTTTTATTAAATGGTTGGTGGAGAAATAAGACACAATGAAAATATCAGTACTCTTCTTTTTTCTTCTTTAGTTTATGGGTATATTGCATTACCTCTCAGGTTGGCTGAAATTACAATCTTATACAACATTTTTAAAACAATGAGAAAATCATAGCAACATGCCTTTAACTTGAACCGGTCCATCAACTAAAAATTCATGTTCATTGGTTCATTAACACATCAAAAAGTTAATTATGGTCTTTTTTTGTCAACTTCGGGATTCCGTTAAGATGGGTCATGCTGGAAGAACTATTGATACAATTGGGTAAAAATTAAGGGACCATTTCTCCAATTGAATTAAAATTGAGGGGCGATTAATTTCTACAATTTTTCTCATTATTTTTTCATATTCTCCCTTAATTCAACCTCTGAAACTCAGAAACACATGGTATTCCCATGGAAAAATTGCAGGAAGCCATTTGGCTGCTCAACGCAAATCGGCAGTGGTTCGAGCAATCAGCTCTAAGCACAGAAGACTGGAAGTTATTTGCCAAGTATTTCAAACTCCAAACTGATGGATTACTATTGAATAACTAAAATGATGAAAGGAAAAGATGTTTGGATGTTAATTGATGAAAAGAATATGATAAGTGGAAAAGAAGACGACGAAAGTAGTTGGAGCGTCATCTTTGAAAGTGATGGAGTTGGTGGAAAGGGCATCATATATAATTTCTAGGAAAGACTGACGATGTTATGTTCTACCATTCTTTGCTTTGTTTAATTGAATAGTTTGATTTTAATAGTTTTTTTTTTAGATAATCTAACGCGTTTCTTCAAATGAATTTCCCTCTATCATGCCACTTGGGAACTACTTTGTCTCTTCCTATCTATTCAGTTTACACTACCGCAGCAGTCAGTTGCCACCAAATTGTTTCTTTCTATATTGTAAGAGCATGTTCAAGGAAATGAGGTATAAATTAAGACAAAAATTTGACATTAACAACCTTAGCTGACATTAATTTGTATATCCATTTATTCATAGATTTAGAAGTGGTACTTAAATTTTCACTCAAATTTAGATTAAGTCCCTAAACGAAAAGTTCGTTAATTGAGGTCTTAGAATTTAGCAAATGTGCACTATTGGACTTTCCGTGAGATTTTCGTCAATTGTACGTAAAATAACATAGAATGCACAATTAGTCCCTAAACTTTGACCCTAATTTAGATTTGGTCCTCAATAAACATTTAGAATTGATACGTGAGATCTACTTGTATGCCATATCATCAGCTTAACAAAAGAAATTTACAAAAATTATTGGAGAAACCAATAGTGCACACTTTGTTAAATTTATTGAACTGACGACAGTACCTCACAAACTAGAACCAAACCTTCATTGTTATATTATGAATTTGCATTATTATTTTTTATATATGTAATATTTATTATATTTTAATTGCCATATCTTGTTTTATTTTTTAAGATATGTTGTGCCGCTGTATTATCCGGTTGTGAAAATTCTAGAGATTTTCTAATAACATCAGTTCATCATATATCGTGTGGTCAGAAATTATTGTAATTTTTTTTATTTAAAATTGAATATAAATAGTACTTGATAAAAACTGATTACACGATGAACGGATGTAATTGAAGGTTTTCCTGGAATCTTCACAAAGTTGATCCATCCTCTCTAGATACGTTGTGATTGGCTCATACAATGCTGAGCTGGCAACATTTGAACAGTGTTGTTGCTGTCAGTGGAGAGGTCACCTTTCGTTGGGACGCATTGAAAGATGCAGACCATGTGGAGTGTTACAAAAGAAAAGCAGGAGTAGGCTTGTTTTTTTTTTTTTTACATTGGGAGCATTTGGCTAGAGAAGCTAGTGGATGAAAGGTGATTGATGCCTTTGGCATTTTTTTAATGCAAGGAAATGCTTGTATTGGGGTATGCTAGTCGATTGAGAGGGCAGGCATCAGGGAAGCATCGAAAGTACTTGGAGTGTCATCTTTCAAGGTGGGAAAGGAATCATATATAATTTCCAAGAAAGACTTGAGGATGTTTTGTTCTCGCATTCTTTGCTTTGTTTAATTGAATGATTGATGACACGGTGAGTTTGTTTAATTTTGTGTTAGTGTCCTTTACTATTGACAACTTTTTTTTCGTTTTTCTTTAGACGAAGAAATACCGAACCAATCAAGGTAGAGAGAAGCTGGCTTCGTGTAAGAGGCAAGGAAATTTCAAAGTGGTTTAAGGTGTTTTAGGTGAGAAATTGAAATAAGAGAGAAAGATGTTTTTGTTGACGCTTGTTAATCAGATTGGACTTTGATTCAACGCATCAAAGCACATGCATGCCAATTCTTTTTTCTTCTTTAATTTATGGGCTCCTCACCACTCTTCTTCTTTCTTTTCTGTCAAAGTCGTAGATCTCATTGTTTATCACCTTTGTCTAGCACACACCTATTCCTTCTGTGATTGTAGCTCAAATCTTTCCTAGCCTCTCTCCACCACAGATATCACAACCTACCCACCAATATTTATTTATTATTTTAAATTAAGTTTTGTAGATAATCATAGACCTCATAGTAAGTAGATCAAGATAAAATTAGTTTTAGGATTTCAAACATTCTTCTCTATTATTCTTCTCTCTTTGGAGGTGGTAATGTATATACAATCATATCTCTTGTAGTAATAATTAATGACTCCTAATCAAATTAGGAAATACAATAATAATGGATCAGTTCTTCTTGTCCATTATTTCCTCCAAGAAATTAATTACTGAGTTATTGACAACTTCTTTTTCGTTTTTCTTTAAACGAAAAAACTACAAACCAATCAACATACAAAAGGAGGTAGAGAGAGGCTAGCTTCGTGTAAGAGACGAGGAAATTTCTAGTTGGTTTAGATGTGTGAGGTGAAAGTGAAATGGGAGAGAAAGAGGCTATTTTTTAAATTTTGTTGGGCTTGGACAAGATTCAACACATTAAAGCACAGCTGCCAATTATTTTTTCTTCTTTAATTTATGTGTGGTTTAGGCGTATTAGGTGAAACAGAAAGAGGTGAGAAATAGGGTTTTTTCAACTTTTGTCAGTCACTTTGGACAGATCAACGCATAAAAAGCACATGCTACCAATTATTTTTTCTTCTTTAGCTTATGGGTTATTGCATTACCCCTCACTTTTGCTTGTAATTACAATATCATACATCTTCAAAACATTGATAAAATTGTAGCAATGAACTTTCAACCTTAACCCAATTAAAATAAAAGTTTATCAACTAAAAATTTATGATTATCGGTCCCTTAACTTATTAAAACGTGAGTTATAATCTTTTTTATCATTTTTATTATAATTCTGTCAAGATGAATTATACTGAAACAACTATTGATACAATTGAATAAGAGTTGAATGATCATTTCTATAACTTTACGGGTTTATGAATCCGAAAGATGTTTTTCTTAGAAATTGCTATTTTAATTATTTTATATGATTTTTGTATATTATTTAAATGTTTTCTAATTAGATATTTTAAATATTTTATATTATTTTATTTTGTGGCCCGTGGGGCCCACACCCCACTTCCCTTCCTTCGCCGTGTCAATTCTCTTCCTAATCTCTCGGGAACTCTCTGGAACACTCTCCCTCGTCTCTCTCCCTCCTCCCTCTGCAACAACAAGAGCGACCCGAGGCACCACCTTGCCTCGCCCCTCCGGCGAGCTTCACCGCCACCAACAACCATCACTGTCTACCCTGCACCTCCCCGTTCCCCTCGTCCCGGTCTCTCTCCTCTTTGCTCGAGGCACAGCTGCAGCAATGGCAGCCACCATCGCCATACATCCCGGCGAGATTTCACGGTGCTCCGACCTGGGAAAGCCTCGGGATGCTTAAGGTTCTTTCATTTTCGTCATGGTGGTTTAATTATAACCTAGAGTTTGCGATTTAAACGTCGGATTTGCACAGGAACAGAGAAAGCAAGAAACTCAGTTTTCCGGCGAGGGTCCGACGGCTTTTGAGCCGTTTTAAGGCCACTTCCCGGCCACGGCAGGGCAAAATGTTGGTCTATTTCTAATCCTCTCGTCCGTAGCTTCAATTCGGTATATAATATGCCTAGGTTTTGTTAGGTTTTGGGGTTGATCGGAGCTCGGGGAGCTCCAGCGTTCTTCTTCGTGGAGTCCTTTTAACTAAATTTACAACGGACCCGTTAGTGATAGAATGGTGAAATTCACTTACCTTGCGATCCTTGACATCTGCCTAACAATGTGAATGGCGCACGCACTACAAATAATGGAAAGCTTTCCAAATTGAAATTCATGCCCCTTTCAATGAGTGCCTAGGAACTAATGGCATTGAACAAGACATGGAGATAAGCATATTAATTTTCAATTCCTTGAATCAATGTTGTATGACCAGGATGGATAGAAGGTTTGGCATCTCGATTGAACTTTATGGGCATGTTTGATACGCATGATCGATTTGGCTCGGACTAATTGTAGGGAATGGTTTGAATTGGTTTGGCTTGGACTGATTGTAGGGAACGGTTTGAATTGGTTTGGCTCGGACTAATTGTAGGGAATTGTTTGATACGCAAGTTCGATTTTGATAGCAGATGAAAGCCAGACGCTGAAGCTTCGATTTTGATAACAGATGAAAGCCAGACGTTGAAGCTAAAAGCGAGATTCATCATTGTTGTTAGGTTTCCTTTCCTTGTGTCTCAAGTAGACCTGGCATTTTGGACTCGACCCGTTCGACCCGTTTGGGGATGCTTAACGGGTCGGATCGCTAACGGATGAACCCGTTAACAATCTGTTAAATAATGTGTCACTTTGGGTCAACCTGTTAGCACCCGTTATAAATTATATTGGAATGCTCCCTCAAGCCGCTTTGGGTCTTCCGCTCCCTCCACCATCTCTCCTAAGAAATCTCCTACCTCAAGCCGCTCCAGTTCCTCATGCACCGCACCTCTTGCTCCGTGATCCGCAGGTCAACCCTCCTCTCCATCCTCCTTAGTGCAGAAATTAGGAGAGACATAGGCCACCTCCTGCAAGTGTTTAGGTTCATGGTAACAAACTCTTTCTTCAAAGATTGTCCTGACAAACCTTGGAAATTTCCTACTGTAGCAATTAAAGAAAGCGCGGGTGAGGAAGAGGTGGCTGAAAAGTTCTCCTCACTTGTAGAGAAAGATGCTTTAAAGGGAAGTGATAAATCCATGGTTGGAAGAGAAACATGCTTTGAAATTTCTCACTTGCAGAGAGGAGCTCGAGAGTCTCCAGGAAGAGTTCCAGAACCAGATGGAGGAGAAATCCAAGTCGCAGCTCCTTGTCGTCAGCACCCTTTTATACATCATTGCAGTTAATGTGTAACTGTATTGGAATGCAAAAAAAAAAAAAAGAAACGGGTGTTAACGGGTGATGTATTAGATTAACAGGTTGGGTTTGGATGACCCGTTAACTTAATGGGTTGGGTTTGGATGATTTATTAGCTTAACAGGTTGGATTGAACCCAACCCAAACCCGATAAACTCGACCCGTTTACAGGTCTAGTCTCAAGTTAGGGGTTTGGATTGGTTCTATTGAGGCCTGTCATTTTGGTCCTCATTTGTTTGGTTCAAGCTAAGATTGGTGTTACATGTGCAGAATAGTTTGTAATAGCATTATCTCCTGCAACCCTTCGCAACTGCAAGATAATTCACAATCAAAGATATCCGAGTATGCAACAAATTCAAATCAATCACATTTGGGGATCCCATCATTTGGTCGGTTCGAATTGTAATGAGGGCTTCTTCCCCCATTGTGAAAGCACTGACTTTATCTGTCAAATCGAAACAACGAAAATTGTGCTCATTTCGAGTAGCTTCGGTTTTGGGTCGAAAATTAGTTGATTTGATACAAGCGGTACCAAGTGAACCATGCAATGAGTATGTGCTTCAACAAGGAAACCTTGGACACCCAATTCAATGCCTAACTGATAATCCAAAACAATCTAACGTTAATTACTGGCCAGAGGCGAGCTACTAGAGAAATATCGTCTCATGATTTTTTCGGTGTTGTTTTCACTCTTAACATCTCCATAAACCTCTGAAACTCTCACACTTTTCGTAACTGAAATCATTGACTTACCCCATAAAAAATTTGTGAAATCCCGAGACTCATTTATTTCATGACAAAGAAAGACTTCTTTCACATCCACAAAAAACCATGAGGCAAATATGAAATAACAAATATAAACTCCACTAATCTTTTCATTTCTTTTTTTCTCACAAACCCAAATGATCTCAATCAACTCAAATCTGAAAACTAGAATTTGAGAGAAACCCCGACAATCTTTACCTTGATTGAAATTCTACCAGTAGTGATAGCAATGAAAGCAATGCATCCAAGCATTAGATTTACACGATCAACTACTTCAAAAATAATTTAGGAAAGAGTTATGGCAATTTCCTTCTCATCAAGTAAACTTGGTAATTCATATATGCAAAGAGAATCGTACAAATGTACAACACTAAGAATTTCGTAAATTGCTAGCATCCTGCAACTACAGAGCAATACGCAAATACTCTTTTACGAAACACTCGATCTTACAACTTAGAAACCGAGAGATGCATTGCATTCTAATCAACATGCATGGGTTCCGAGCCCCCAGCCGCATCTCCCATTCCATTTTTCTGCTCTTTCTCCTCCATTAGCAGAGCAAAATACACCCGGAAATTACGCCACTTTCTTAAAGCGTTCTAATTCTACTGCTTAATGCACACAACATATCGGGAATTCAATATAGCTCACATACCACGTGCAGGAGCAGAGCAAACTGCTTCTTCCTCAGCTCCAGCGTCCGCGAACTTGCGGTGTTCTCCACATCCAATGCCGCAATCTCTTTCTCCAACTCTGATATGATCTTGAGCGTCTCAGACCGCGGCGGGTGCGTAGCAATCAATTTCCTGATCACCTCACACTCCTCCTCGTGCCTTCTTTCGACCTTACTCTCCTCGAGCTGCTCCTTGAGCGTCTCAATGTCGGCCTTCGCCAGCACAATCTGCCGGTTAATCTCCTCCCTCAGCTCGTCGAAGTTGTGCTTCTCCCGGAGATTCGCATCCACGACGGCCTTGCTCTTGAGGAGCGGAATCTCGAACGTGTTGAGCTCCTGGAGGAAAGCTTTGGCGAGCTTGTCGCAGTCGGCGAAGTTGTCTTCGTTCTTGTCGAGCTCGACGAACAGGGACGTGAACTTCTTCTGGAGCTTCTTCAACGGCGGTTCGCCTCTCGTGGTTGTGGTCCGAGTGAGAAGTCTGTGTTTGATGATGAAGTCGTCTTCGAGCGGCCCGAACGCGTAGTTCGCCGCCACGGCCTCTCCTCGCCCTGAAGCTTTTCTTCCTTTCGCCAGCATCGGAAACTGACCGGAGATTATGAGTCCGGCAGAAATTCGATTTCGAATTTGACCAACCCTAATCTAATCTGCAGAAAGAAAATCCCCGTTCACGGCGGAGGATTCAGCTTCTCTTTGTGGAATCCAACGGCAGACGGCGATGTTTGTTGTTTTTGCCCGAGGTTAATTGGACGGTCGGATGTGCTTCACGGATAAACACTGCTACACCGGATCCAGGATGTTTATTTTGTCAATATGGCTTTTATATTTGGGAGGAGGATTCTCTTTTTTCTTAAGCTCTCTCTTTCAATCCTCTCCTATTTGAACGGTTATTGTTTAATCATGTCAACATCTTATATTAATTTTTTTTAATAGAGACAATAAAACAAAAAGCAATATGTGAGAAGAGGGGAGGAAAAGGGATGAAAATAGGAAGGGAGAGAATCCTACTCCTTATATTTGGGACATAAACCAAATTTCTCACAACAAAAATAGAAGGGCTTTTTTTTTTTTTTTTGAACAAACGATATTATCAGTACTAAGGGAAAGGACGTGACCTCTCAATGGGCTAGTAATAATGTGGTTCAAACACGCATTTGGTAAGAATCGAACCTAAAACCTCTTACTTAGGAATACCACTAGACCGTAGTACCAAGTGGCAAAAAATAGAAGAAATCAGGTCATCTCTAATTGAAAAGGCTAACTATAACCCCGTCCAGAATCATAACCGAATGAGCTAAACATAGCCCCTTAATGATTTATTAGTTTTAATTTTATACTATTAATTTATTAGTTAATTTAATTAAACTACCGTTTGATGTTTTCAAATTTAGTCTCTGAATTTGAATCAATTATCATAATTGAGGAGTTGGACCCTAAAAAAAGGCTAAGAGGGGACTGCATTTGGCTAACCTAGGAATAAGATCCTCTTCAGATGTCTTCCAGCCGAATTCGGAGGATCCTTCAATCTCAGCCATTCAAAAGAAAATCGAACGTTTAGGAAAACGTTTTGGCACCATTGGAATAGGAAGAAGCTGCAATGGCAGAAATGGCCACCGGATCCTCTGTATCGAATCCTCGACGATGGTGTTAACGACTGGAGGGGTTGACAAGGTGTGGATGTGGAGGAGAAAACGGTAGCGCCGTTGGAATTGTAGTTTAGATCGATGGTTCACGGTCCTGTTCGGGGCAAGTTGAGATCGTGGCTTTGCGGACCTATTTGAGGAAGAAGATGAAGCTACAATGGCTTTGCTATTGTGATGGAGGTAAGGCTTGCTACCAAAATTTGGGATCCAAAGGATCTGGCTAGGAGGGATCAGAAAGGATCATTTCTCGCTAACCCGATACCCTTTTGGCCAAATAATGATCTGGTTGGCTCAATTGAATTTTAGTCTAACCATTGATTGAAGATGAGTTTTAGGCAAATCAGGTCATTTTTTTGTTTTTGAACCTTTATCCCTCTACATTGGAGATGGCCTTGGCCTCGTTTGGCAGCTTAGACTGTATTGATTATTTCGGTCAAATAGGATAAACAGTCATCGAATAGTACTAACTAAATTAATCGAATGTTTGGTGTAATATCAGAATAATGACCGTATTATTTATAAAGCATTTAGTACTTGTTTATAATACTTTTCAATTGATAATTTAAAAAAAAAAATCACAAATGTGTTTTTCAAAATAAAATTTACAATCCAACAATAAAAATCCTCAATCCCTTGTTAATGGAAGCTTCAAGCAGACTCTCCTAGCTTTTGTTGCAATATCATCTTCGAATCAATTAATGGCTTCTCTCAAATTGAATCAACAGCTTCTCATCTCTAAACTCAATTAATGTCTTCTCTCAAATTGAATCAATAGCTTCCCCTTTTCGAACTCAATATTGTCCTTTTTCAAAGTGCTGGAACTCAAAACCTCCATGAAAGATGACGACAATGAAGCATAAATTCCATGCTTTATAGGGGAATCAATTGTCATGCTTGACCTTGAAATTTCCTCCAAACACCAGGGTATGCACGTGCTGGCAGACACTCATGGGTGACGAAGCCATATTAACATGCATGTAAGTTATGAAGAAAGAACGAATGTAAAATAAAACATGAAAACTTAACTATAATGAATATGCAAATGTGGGAATGTGTTCAGAGCATACAACAAATCAAGAATACTGTAGAAGGAATATTATGAAAAGGTACAAACAAATGAATGGGTCCTACACTGAGAGGAGTCGAAGAAACTGAAGCGGGAGTGCCTTGACGCCGGGATTGTACTCCTCGATTCTAAGTCCTGAAGGGGCGCAAAACAAAGCATGAGTGGACCAAGTTTATATAAATGTGTGTGTGTATAATACTAAAACAATTACTCTTCAACGTACTAACCCCCAGTTTTAGAAAACTCATATAGCATAATAAGTAATAGGTTTTCCGAAAACCCTAGCATGCCATAAGAACTTCATAAAACATATATTATATATAATATGCTTAGTAGTGGTATCACAATCGCCTGAAGGCACTACATCGCCCTTCTGAAGGCCCTACATCGCCCGCCCAAAGGCACATAGTATGAATATCCACTAAGTAAGCACAAAAAATCATGAACATAATCTTTCCAAAATATATCTCAATCGGAGCTCAATAGCTCAAACATCATATCATAAATCATATTCATAAATATCTCAGTAATGTAAATTCGATAAAGCATGATATTTCTTAGAGCGTAAATCCGATAACTGAATAAAAATTTTATAAAACGTAGTCATAAAATCATGCTTTTCATGTATGCATTTCTAATAATTAAATCATGCATTTTGGAAGGGGTCCACTTATAGATACTCTGTCATCGAAGAGCCGTTCGAACAAGGGAGGACAAAATCGCCACTAATAAACGCACCAATTTGAAGCAGTGTTGTGGCCAAAGCTGGCCGGAAAAAGGCCTGGAAGGCTCGGGTTCTCTTTGAAATCTGGGGAAGTCTCCCCGAGTAGTTTCCTTCGTCGGGAATGACGCTATCTCGTCGTGACTCGTCGGGGAGATTATGAACAGTGCCTCCCTGTGCAGAGGGAGAGAGATTAGCAAGCTTGAGGCTCGTCTCTTCGATTCTAGACGTGGGAATGGGTAAGGAAGATGGGGTTAGAGTATCGTAGTATTGCCGGGGTGGTAAGGGTGGCTTAGTGTCTACACTTGCAGAGCAAGGATAAAGACAAGAGATGACGGTCTGAGAAAAGAAGAGCTGAGAGAGATGAGGCAGTTAGAGAGAAGAGAGGTCAAGAGAAATGAGAAAGTGGGAGAGAGAGT